CATTCATTCTGTGTTATGGACTTATAATGTAGTTTTCTACAGGTGAAACAATTTTTAAAATTAATTGTGTAGTTTTTGAGTGTGTCCATTATAAACAAACGTATAAAAAATAAAAAAACCTTTTTCTTTTTTTCTTTAGTTTAAAAGAAAACATCCAATACAAACATTAGTAATTACCAACAACAAAATTGTGATAATAAAAATAAATGCAATGTCATACCTCATTACTGTCGCAAGTTTGCAACAAATCCGTTGCGATTGAGATGTCGCGCGACCAATCGCGTTAATCCGCTGCGTGTGGCTGCCGCGTGTCGCGTCAGTCGCTCTTCTGCAGTTGACGGGTGAACATCGTTAATTACAAAAAGTCGCAAGTCTGTATTTGTTAATAGTGATCAGTCTAAATTTTAAATACTAATAATTACGATCATCAGATAATATTCTGAGAGGAACATAAACATTATCTGAACGTAATGAGCAGATATGAAGAAGATTATCAACAACTAGCTATTTCTCACGGTTTTACTCCTGTAAATTAGCATACAAAGTAGCCATGTGTGAAGTTAGGATATTAGCTAAAAGCTAAATGTATACAAAATTTGATTCAAATCCGTCCAACTGTTTAATAAAGAAAGAGTTACAAACGTCCAACCATACATATACATAAATTTGTAAGTTTGCCATAATAGTAGGATAAAAAGCAAAGTTATTTTTTTATTATTTCAAAGCAAAGCGAAACCTATAAAGACCTATTGTTTATTTTTACAAATAAATTGTTTAAATGTATTAATTAATTGTAGAAAAATACAAATAATGGAACCATGTCCAAGTTAACACTATGTATCAAGCAAAGTAAACACTATGACAATAGATTTATACTAAAAAATTCGATGCCAGGACCGCTCGGTATAGTGTGAAGATATCACATTTGGAAACAGAATTCATAATTTTGAAGTGATAGAATATGTAGATACAGCTATCTACTATTGAAATACCAGCATGAGCAAATACTGTACAACCTGCCACAAACTAAAGTTTCATCCCAATCATCTGGACGAGTGGCGGTCTTCCACCGTGCGTTTTTCAAAGCACTTTCTGCCACGCACAACCATTCTTTGGAATCAACTTCCAGCAGCAGTATTTCCGAACCGATACGACAACATAACCTTCAAGAAAAGAGTATATTCCTTTTAATTTATATATTAATAATTCCTTAAAAGGCCGGCAGCACACCTGCAATGCCGCTGGTGTTGTGGATGATCATGGGCGGCGGTAGTCACTTACCACCAGGTGAGCCGCATGCTCGTTTGCCCCCTGTGTTTTAAAAATAAATGATATTTCCATAATAATTTTATTAAATTATTCTCATCCTTTATTAATTAAATTTAATCTTTTGTAACGTTATAATTATCTACTAATTGACAATTATTTTTAACGATAAATTAAAATAAACGGATAAATAAATTTATTCACAATTTCCATTCGCCCCTTCCGACTATGATTCTATTCTCACATTAAAAAAGTAACATTTATATCAAATACAATAGTTTTATTATACGTATGAAATATTATATTATGTTGGCACGCGGCACTTAATGGGTTAATATGTGTATTAACGGACAAAAGGCATAAAAAAACCCTGCAATGCGAGTGGGTGACATCGATATCATAATCAAAATATGAAATGATATTTGGGGTGCATTGGACCCTTGAGTGGGATTTGTTGACGCCCTGTGTTTGTTTGTTTTTAATCATTTTATACAATTGATAATTTGATATGTGGATTATTTGTGTTTTAAATTTAGAATGCCGATTATAATATTGAAATAATTGGCAATAACTTCAGAATGTAAATATGACTAATTTTCTAATATTGTAAGTTGATGTCGGTGATTTTGAATTCCGTATTAGGATATATAAATGTGAAAGTGAGTTTGTTTGTTTGTTACCTTATAGCATCTTAATAGCTTATCCAATCACTATGAAATTTGCTGTTATTTAGAATTGGCAAAGATATATTCTATATCTTATACAAACAATTACAAGCAACCTTTTTCTTTTCTGATATCCCTCACCAACTCAAAATATATTTTTTGTATAAAAGTTTCTTATATCAAACTCTATATAAAGTAAAGTAAAATAAAAAGAATTTTAAGTAAATTATTCCTTGTTAATGTTTTGTGGATATGTATGTAATATTTATGGTGAATAACTCTTTTTTATACGAATCAATGATAAACGATAAAAATTAGAGCCTTTCATAAATATGGGATATTAGTATTTCAAATTCTTGTTTATAAATTTGAAAAAAAAAATCTCTGATAATTAAACCTTTAAGAGGATGTCAATATATGAATTAATCCTGTAATCATTTATAGTTGCCAAATTTAGTTAACGATAATCTAATCTTAACAACGTACTCACCTATTTTTAAATTATAACAACTGTGTTATATGGCATACATTCAAAAATATATTTAAATAAATATATATTATCGCCAAAGCACCAGCATATCGCCAATTCTATCCCACATCATAGTCACACATGGCCATTGTGCGGCCAGTCTCTACCAGACGCCATGCGCCACTTCTCCGTTCGCACGAAATAAAAATTCGATAAAAAACGCAGTCCACACGTGCCAATGCATTATTCGATAACCGTCGGGGGCGGTATAAGTCCATTGACGACAACCCTAATTTTACTATTCGAAATCCTATTCTCAATTCAACCTTAGTCTCCAATCAACAGAGATCAAATTCCTTAAACGTTACTCAAGTGGATCAACTACATATATGATAAGGTAAAGTAGGATTTACAGCGATCGGGTTAGTGTTGAAAATTACTCGGATAGAATATAAAGGTTTCTGGAATAGGGTTGTCAGAAGATTTCTCTATTTATTGGTGGGAAAGGCCGCGTGTCAGATCTAACACCAGTTTTAATATTTTCAGTCGCGTGCCGGCCACGCGTGGCTCTTTGGTAAAAAACTGTACGAGCGTAATTCGCGTTTTATTGTTGCATTCTTCTCATTAAATGTTATTGCGATTTTTTTTTTATATTTTCTGTGGTTATACGTATGGTTGGTCATTAGTTATAAATCGACAAATTCTGTAAAGATCTTTACAAAATCAAATTCTGCAATAAGAAGTCTGGATGAAAATACTTTTTTTTTATTTTAAAAGTTGAAAAAAGAAAACGAAACATATAGTAATTATACACCAAATATCACGAAATAGTTATTTAAGGTGTAGTCTATCTTTGTGCCAAATTACAATCAATTTGTTTAGACATGATCAAGTAACAAAGTTCCGATATTTGAAATATTAGGTAATATCATTTACATTTATACTACTAGCTGTATTTCCGGGGTCTTGCCTGTGGTCGTATCGTGATATTGAATAGTATATAACCTTCCTTAAGAAATGAGTTATCAAACATATCGCAAAAACATTTCTCAAATACGACTAGTACTTACAAAAATCTAATTACAAAAATATATATATATGAATATAAACGCTGAATATGATTAACGTTTCCGACTTATTAGAATATTTAAATACTTTAATTATTAGATAGATATTTATTATTAGGTGAAAAACCACAATAAATGCACTAGAACATTTACTTAATAAAACTTGTTGCGCCATCTGTTATAGGGTAGCGGAATTATAATGAGTTATAATTCCGCTCATGTTTATACATATGTACTTTATTGTTCCATATTAAAATAGAAGATTCCACTGCGTATTTATTTTTGTTAAATCATTTTAAGAATAATATTTTGGGAAAATAGCTTTGTGTCTATATTGAATTTAATATAGTAAATAAATTATATTTTCACTAATATTATAAAGAGGAATAATTTGTTTGTTTGTTTGTAATGGATAAACTCAACCTACTCAACTGATTTTAAAAATTATTTCACCTATTTAAAGCTACATTATAAAAAAATCTATTTACCCATGCAAAGCCAGGTCAGATCGCTAGTTTTTAATATATGTAAGTACTTTAGCAATTTAGTTAGTGGGAAATCTATACTCTTAGAAAATAATAAGCCCAGAATATTTTTGATTTTTACTTTGCCTGTTCGTTATATCATTATGCTTTTGGATTAAGATTCTACTAACTGGATATATATTTACTTACCTAAATAGGTAATTAAAAAATAGTTTCTGTTGTATACGATAAAATTGAAAAATATTTTAAATCATAATTATTCTGCATGCCTAACCTTCTAAAACAAATAGGTATCCTATAAGTGCATTAAAATATTTAAAGCTATTATTCCATTTCATAAATTAATTCTATATATGAAAATTTTATTTGAATAACATTTAAAATTTTAATACTTTACGACTATTACCACTAGCGACATCTATCGTTAACAACGTCAACTAAGCCTACAATTGTGCCGCCACCCCAAAGGGCCTATTTCCGTCCACGTGTTGATAACAATACGATACGACGACGACATTATACCGATATAATAGCGATGTCATCGCGACATCATAATATCGGATTATTGACACGGCACACAGGAAATTACCTCCTCCTAGAATAGGGAGCACTTTTGTACTTGAATTCGTAATGATGTCCTATTGGAAATATATTATAATAATAAATTTGATAAATGAATAATGGGTCTTTACAGCACGTAGATGGACTATATTAGCTATATTTTATTAAATTATTGAAGTACCTATTGCCTGAGCAGCTCATTATTATAGTTTCCATAATATCTATGCATGTAAGAAGTCTATGGACTGATTTATTGACACACAGCGCAGGTTTGAATTATATATAACACTGAACAATATAAATATTCTTTTATGAATTAATTATCAACATATATCAATATAATAATATTTGTATATTTGTAGTAAGAAAACAAACATTTATACAATAGTATAACATTTATTAATATTATCAAACAAAACTCATTTTTACTTATAACTAAAATTAATCGGACCGAACATTCTTTTTGCTTGGAAACCAAAAAAAAAAGACAAAAAAATTTTAAATTAAATAAACAATTCAGTCTGAATCAGACAGGGCGATGCTTTCCTGGAAAGAAATGTACTCAGTTAATTAAAATTGCTAGCCATTGCCAGCCAATATACCGTGTCAGTCAACTTCCACGTGGTCCCTGGAAACCATCGTGCTGAATTTCATGTGTTCCACCACGGTGGACTAACTGACTTGCTTTTTCATTCTCACCTATCATGCTTCACTGGTGCCTCGCCAGCATATACTGTTAGCGCAGGAGTTACCATTACATTATAATCTATTAAAAAAAAGTATACCTGTCAATCAGTAACCTCAGTGAAATCAAATGTATATGAATAACATCTTAATCCTCCGAAATGGTAACACTTTTTTTTTAATAGGCGATAATGGAATGGTAACCCCACCCGCGCTATTGGTATACACCGGCGGGGCACCAGTGAAAGATGATAGGTGAGGATGAAGCAGGTCAGTTAGCCCATCGTGACAAATTCAATAAGAATTGTTCACAATGGTTTCCAGGGGGAACCACGTGGAGGTCGACCTAATAGGGCATATTGCTAACAATGGGGCTGTCAAACTCCATTGCTAACAATCCCTTTCCCCCCGAAATGGTAACACTTATTATTTTATAATATCCGTGGTGCTGTTCCGATATATGTTCCCATTTCTTTTAAAATTTCGTTTACCGGATGGTAAGTGATTACCTCCGCATATAAGCACCCGCAACAGCTGAGGAATTGTAGATATATTGCCAGCTTTATAGGAATGAACGTGCTCTTTTTTTGAAGGTTTGAATGTCGTATATGTTCGGAAATAGTGCTGTTAGTAGTTGGTTGCATAGTTTGCTTGTGCGGGGAGAAATGTCTACAAAAACGTATTACAATATGCCCAAATGCGACAGTTATTACTTTTCAAATGGGCCGTTTAACTAAATTTTAATTACTATTTTATATTATTTTCAGATTATTGACTCACTTTAAACTCTCCAATGAAGATGTCGGAGTCATCGGATGGGGGTGGTTGCTCTATATCGACAGCAGTTATTTGCGGTCCTGGATAATAGAATTTATAATTAATTAAATGACTTAATAATACATTTATTATATTTAAACATATCTATGTATATTCATTCCTTAGTCCTTCCCGTGGATGTCGTAAGAGGTGACTAAGGGAATTTAATCGTAGAGGACGGGTAGCAGCGTTCCTTTTAAAACATTACCAAAGCTTAACTGCGGTTGTTAGCCCGACTGTGAATTGAATGTTTCCTTTATAATATGTTCAGCAGTGGACAGTTAACAGCCGATTTGATGATGATGTATGTTCATGCTAAGTTCCTTACAGGGTAGGCAGAGAGAACCGAATATTAAAGGCCTCTATATATGACTTATCTCTTGCTACATCATTTCAGCTGCATTTTTATATAAAGTTTTATTATTTTATTATTATTTTTTATTATATATTATTATTATATTAAGTTTTATTATTATATTAGCCGCGGGAAACAGTTTATAATATTGGGATATATAGGATCATTCCAATTAAACTCAAATGATTAGAAAATTGCTATTTCCTGGTTCTCAAGATTGACTGTAAGAAATTCTTCGGGGTTAAAAATCAGCCTCTGAGTTTTGATTTTCTATCTTCTTTTTATTATTTCTTTTTCATAATACACGTACAAACGAACATCTCTTATTAGGCAACATGTAAAAATTTAAGTATAGGTACCCATTGGGATGCATTCCATGGGTTCAAACAGATCCATGGAGCTGAAATCAAGAGGCGGCGACGGAGCTGGCGGCGGCAGGGCGCAAGTCGACGATATCCTTGTACCTTTAAAAAACATTATACATTTTATTTATTTATCTCATTATCTAAGATTTTTGGAGTTGAAAGATTTTGCATCAAGAACTACTTGCGTTGATTCTATGAAGTTTCTACGCTCGAGATTTAGAGGTAATTCCTGGATAGTGCCAAGGACTAGTTAGTTTAAGAAGATGACTTTATACAAAAGTCTACTTGAGTAATTCTATTCTGTATTCCTATTAAAACTCTGTCCCAAGCAGCTATGCTTCTAGGTATATTGCTGAGTTTCCACTAGATATGTGATAATATATGGCAATGAAATTACAGGACATGTAAGTAGTCACGCATGAGAGATACTATGGGCGTTACACTGTATTCTTCTGTCTATGGTTTATTTATAACTGATAGTTATCAATTTGCATCAAGAAAGCCATCAGTTTATCTTCCATTCCCAGTTACAAAAAAAAAAAAATATTCGAAAATGTATCAACTATTCATAAAATCTAAGACGTTCTACACACCCATTTTAAATATTAGAGCACTTTGCCATTGGTTTTTCAAATTAAGAAATTATTTTAAAATAGAAAGACAAAATACTTCAATTGCAAAAATATGTTTATAAGTTTGACGTTTATATAAAATAAGGGTGTAAATGTGCTACTTTATTATAGATAGAAAACAAATATAAGTTTACCTGGTCTCAATGTGTGATCGTCAAAGGCACTAGGATCTTCTGTATGGAGGGGATCCATGCTTGTCATCTTAGTTGAAAATACCGGTGATACATCAGACCCGCTGGAGCACGGTTCTATTTTCACTGGACCAACTGTGAAAAAAGAAATTTTGCGTGTTTGATAGTACAAAAACTAATGAAGAGTTTTGAATGAAGTTAAATATACAGAAAGGTTACATTTTAACTTAGTATATGTACTATGTATATGTACAGGGAGTCAATGGATGCAGGTGGCTCAGGATAGTTCCTTATGGCAGTCTATAAGGGAATCCTATATGTAGCAATGGACATATAATGCCTGAGATGATGACGATGATGACGATATAGAGTACTTTATTTATTAATTCACGCAGACAAAGAGGCGAGATGCAGCTAGTATTACAAACGCGAAAGTTTGTGAGGATTAGAGAATTTTTTTTACTATTTCACGCGAAAAGTTCTGAACGGATTTAACTGAAATTTTTGTACCCGGGTAGATTATGTTTTAATTTAATAAAGGTGAGCAAAGCCGCGAAATTTAAGAGCTAAAAAATATAAATATGACAACGAGTTTTTGGCGCTGTAACGACTCAAGTAAACGTTGTCAAATTTGCTATGCACAAAGTAGCAAGTAAACACTAATATTAAATCAATGTATTATACTATCAGCAGAGAGAGCGGTGTGGTATGCGTGATGCGGCTCCTCGACGGCGAGGTGCAGTCTACCACCAGGCTGGAACCGGGGCACCACCGTCGCCACCACCGGCACTCTTATTTGGACCGCGCCGGCCACTTCTGGGTCGGAGACAGAAGTTCCCTCCTGATTGCAAATAATTGTCAGGATGTAAAATATTGAGGTTTCTTTTTTAATTCATGAAAATGAAACAGTAACTATGGCTAAATATATAATCTTAAATCTGCTATAAGCAGGTGTACTTATTAGTTACTAGTTGTAAAATAATTAATGCCAATGAATTCTTGATTAAAACCCTATTAATACTATAAAAGTGAAAGTTTGTAAAAAAATAGATTACTCTTTCACGCTAAAACTATTGAACAGATTTTAATGAAATTTGTCTCACCGGTAGGTTGTATTCTAACTTACTACAAAGAATACTTTATATACTAGGTCACGCGGACAAAGCCGCGAAATATAGTTACTATAAAATAAAAGTACTTTTACTGTAGAATTTTCTTCATTATTCAACACAATTTTTCCACCCACTTTCAAATCTTTAGCTGTAGCAGGCACCAGCATCTAGGAAGGTAATTAAACTACATTAAAATTTATAATAAAGTTAATTAAATTTACCAATAACGAGATATATTTCGAATTAGATTTAAAATGAAAAATATTTTCAATATATAGCATAAATATTACCTTACTGTACTTATACAATTGCATCACTGTATTTGTAAATTGCCTTGCTTATTTCCTTTTCTTTATATTTTTACTTATATTGTATAATGCAAATAAAGTATACTAATTCGTTCATTCATTCATAAATTTGCCTTCTACAATTTGAATGCTTACGTTTAATGTAATGTGCACGATGCACAATTATTCATCAAGAAACCGGTATATTTAATTACTATACATTAAATAATTTAAGATTATGTTCCACAAAATTTACAAAATAATAAATAAATAATATAAATTATAAAAAAAAAACTAGATATTTAACTTAAAATTAATTGGCAAGTATAAAATTGTGTTCTATAAAAAAACCGACTTCAATTGTGGGTTAAAACACCCCCAGATATTTTGTTTTAAAATCAGAACTATTGAACTAATTTAGAAAAAAATCTAATCTGAAACTAATCTGAAAGTATACCGTTCAGATAGAAAAAGAATTGTCCAAATCGGTTTACAACTGATGGAGTTATGAGGTTATAAACGTAAAAAATAATATAAGATTGAAAAGACCCTACCTGTTTTCCACCAGGAAGCTTTGTATCAATTACTTTGACCAAAACTGGAGTACTATCATCAGGTTTCAGCAATGCAAATGGAGTTTGTCTGGTTGCTAGAGCAACCCCCATGTGGTAAGTCTTTATGGGGTCAACAATCACTCCATTTCCCATGGATCCCCATGCAGAATCATTCCAAATGTCATTAGTTTCAGGCAAGAGCTTGGAAAAATCCCAATTTTTATTCCATGTAGATGTGGAAGGGCCTTCCATTGATGGCAAGTATGGCCCAACAGAAGAACTGACTTCACATTGGTCAGCTGGTGGTCTGGAAATTTGGGCAATTATGTTATTAATATTGTTAGGATTTACGTCCGTTACGTTCTATTTGACAATCGAATTTATCGGTATTACTGCAATAAAAGAAAAAATCATCGTCGTGAAAGTATTGGTACTAATATATCTTACTATTCTTACTAATATAGTAAAATTGTAAGTAAACAATATTTGTATATGGGAGATATTTTGAAAAAAAAAATATGATAAGAGTTTTCATAAGAATAATAGAGGCCAAAATATTAATTTTTAGAAATTTTGTCAATCTGTCTATATATTTATTCCGGAATCGTGCAAAAACTACCTCACCTAATTAGATGCAGTTTTCACATGTCCTGAAGGTAATATCTAGTAATATGTTTTATGATGATACATTATCTAATAGTGACTTAATTTATTAAGCTTCTTACTTTTGAAACCACGTGTACGAAGTAGCGGACACAAAGCTAGTTTTACTTGTAATTAGGAATGCAGGGAGCACTATCATTTAATTAACATTAATATAGGTGATTACATATGATAAGGTATTATGTATTGTTGTTTTTACCATTGACTGTTCACTGCTGAATATCTCCTCCCCATAAGGCGGGTTTAGCCAGTGGTTGCCCCGCTTGGCAGGCGTGTGGGTAACCATAGTTTAGCTTTTGAGGGTATTTTAAGACGGGCATTGCTGCATCCCTTCACCATAAGCTTCCTTAGTCGTCTCTTATGACACTCACAGGAAAAAAAGAGGTAGCCCATTTTAATTGGGACCTGCAGAGCTAGTATTTTTTTTAATGGATGATAATGGAATGACAACCTCACCTGCGCCACCGGTATACACCGGCGGGGCACCAGTGAAGGATGATAGGTGAAGATGAAGCAGGTCAGTTACCCCATCGTGACGAATTCAACAAGAATTGTTCACGATAGTTTCCAGGGGAAACCACGTGTAGGTCGCCCTAACAGGGCACATTGCCGGCAATGAGGCTGTCAAACTTCATTGCCAACAATCCCTTTCCCCCCGTAGGGCTAGTATAAGAATGAAAATTACCCAGTAGAATCCGGTTGTTTTTCACCACTCAAAGACGGGGGCCGTGTAGCGCTTTTACCTCGTGAAGGAACAGTGGCACAGTCGTCATCAGGATGAGCCTAAATAAAACATTAAGATTATGAGACATTATTTTTTCAACTGGCTTCAAAAAATTCGGTTGTTTTTTTTTTCTTTTTAATGTTTGTTTGTTTGAAAATTCTTTTTTTTTAAAGCTTTATACAAATTGAGACCATGGAAACTTTGTCAAAGTCAGTTCAGTAGTTAAGTTTTTAAATAAAAATAACTGGTTATGCCATAATTGAAGGTGGTATTTTTTTGTGGACCACAATTTTAATTATTTGTTTTTCTAAGTAAGTTTCTTTGTAACTTATATATATAGTTGTACTTAGAATAACAAACATGTTTATGTACCACGTGATAGAAAGTGGTATTGGTTTTCTGTAGCCATAAATAAGTTGATAATATAACTTCTATATTTACCTTATTTTTGTGGCAAACAAGGTTCGACTGCTGGTTGAATCCTTTGAGGCAAATGTTACATCTGTACGGACGCGCGTTGGTATGCGTAAATAGGTGGTTACGCAAGTTTCCTGGAAAGAATAATGCCATACTTCATTCTGACTATTACTGGTGCTTTAAAGTCTATAATTTATTATATCTACTAACTATTTAATCAACAGCAACTCACAAAAATGTAACCGCCCATGAAAAAGGTCCTAATAATCAGAGATAAGTTGCTGAAATTATTCGATCAAATCGGCAAAAATTTGTTAATCAAAAAAGGGATTCTTCGATTTTTTTTAGTTTGTTACCTTATAATTCTGTCAGTTTTAAATTAAATAAAATTACAGCATTAGCAAGTTTATATAATTAACTGATATAATAATCTATCTTAGTACACTTGATTACCAATAAAATCTCTGTCTTTTCTCTAACTGCTTCCTTTACTAGAATTATATATTGCATTACATCTAATAAGAACTACAATAATATTTAGATTCTATGACTACTTATCAGTATTGTATATACTTACATATTATTATAATACATATGTACAAATATGACAGAGTAACCTTTCTGGTGAAAGCCCTTAGGACAAATATGGCACTTGTATGGTTTTTCATCAGAGTGGGTCTTGCGATGGGAGATGAGGGTAGAGACTCGATTGAACGTCTTATTGCAAACCTGAATGTTAAAAATAAGTATAAAATCTACATCAAGTTTGTAAACATTGTGTTCTAACCATTTGGAAGATATAAGTTCAATTTCCATCAGATCGAGCTGTCGGAATGTATATTTTTCAATTGGTTTATAAATTTAAAATACACAATCTTCGTTTTAGGTCTAAAAAACTGTTCTGCTACACTTACCTCACATGCATAAGGTCTTGCAGCAGAATGTATAGCACGGTGTTGGCTGAGGGTGGACAGTTGGCGGAAACTCTTGCCGCAAGCGTTGCAGTGGAAGTTCCTCTCGTCGGTATGCGTTGGAAGGTGACGCATCAGGGTATATTGGTGTTGGAACTCACGACTACCTGCCAGAAGATTTTTTTTATGCAGCTTTAAAATATTAAACGAGCAGACTGTTTAATTAATGAAAAGTGGTGTAATCGTGACTTGAATCCAAAATTTACTCTTTATTATGTCAAGTTCAAAAGAACTTGAGGATATCCAAAGCCGTAAAACACATTAATAAAAAAAACAAAGAGTCAGGGATGATAAGTAAAGATGAAAACAGGTCAACTGGCCTATCACGATTTATTAAGAATTAACCACAAAGTTTCCAGAGAGGGCCGGTGTCACTGGTACCACTGGTGCTAATTAAGCGTGGCTGGTCATACCTGATCAAAGGGCTGAGGATGGCGTTCAATTTTGTACCTTGAAAATAACTATGCCCATCAGTGGGCTACAGTGGAATGACGGTGATGACGATAATAATATGTGCAATTTTGGTCTGACTTACAAATTCCACATTCCCACAACTTGACAGTCCGTCCATGTCTCTTCACGTATTTGACGAAATGGAACCTAGAACGTGGATCCGCTTTGTCCACTTTACAAGGACCCTGGCCATTTTTACCACGGTCTAAAATGACAAAATAAGTTATAATGTTAATAAATAGTTACATTCCGCAGCTTTGTCCATGATAATTAATATAAAATTTATCTTATATACTAATCTGGGGCATAGACAATGTGCGTAGCAAGTTTCAATTATGTTGCACTCTTGTAATAACTTGTAATCACTCATTAATCACACACTAATGGTTGTGGAATGATCTTCCTTCTGAGGCTTTCCCTAAAGACTACAGCATGAGACTCTTCAAAAAGGGCGTATTAAGGTTTCTTAAGGGTCGGCAACGGGCGTGTGACATCCCCTGTGTTACAGGCGTCCATAGGCTTTTTTTATTATTATTTTTATATATATATATATATATATATATATATATATATATATATATATATATATATATATATATATATATATATATATATATATATATATATATATATATATATATATATATATTAGAATGGCAAACAAGCTGACGGCCCACCTGATGGAAAGTGGTAACCGTCGCCTATAGACATGAGCAGTACCATGGGCATAACAGAGTATACTGTTTCGCCCATGCAACCCCTCATGCGTTGCCATTCCTGAGGACTCAGGTGTTATTCCTCTGTACCCAGTAAATTCACGCCATATCCCACCTTTCAAACTGAAACATAGCCATGCAAACACAACTGCTACACGGTTAAATCACGAATGGGACATAGGTATCCAAGCAATCGACTTTTGTACAAAGTCTCCCTCTGGTGAGATATACCATAAGATGAGTCGTATGCTTGTTTGCCACCATAGTAGTATAAAAAAAGCTTTTGCACTTTGATTACTAATAGATTCTTGACTACAACGTGAAATGGTAATAAAGAAATTGTTATATTTTAATCTGAAAGGTCAATGGTATGTCTTACATAGAAATTTACATAGAAATAACCTTCAAGACGACAACACATGAGGGAGTTGGGTTAGGATAGTTAGACAATCCAAAATATTTTTGATGGTCAAGTATTCATTAATGTTTATAAGTATCTTATTATTTACAGTTTGGTAACTGGTGACGGCAAGTGGTAACGACTATTTATAACCAACCAAACCAACCAGAGGGAGACTTTTTACAAAAGTCGATTGCTTGGGTACCTCTATCCCATTCGTGTTTCAACAGTAAAACAGTTGTGTTTGCATAGCTGTGTTTCGGTTTGAAGGGTGGGATATGGCGTGAATTTACAGGGTACAGAGGAATAACACCTGAGTCCTCAGGAATGGCAACGCATGAGGGGTATCATGGGCGAAACAGTATACTCTGTTATGCCCATGTTACTGCTCATGTCTATAGGCGACGGTTACCACTTTCCATCAGGTGGGCCGTCAGCTTGTTTGCCATTCTAAGTTGTATAAAAAAAACATGAACAGTACCATCAATACTACAAAATATACGACGAAATTTCTGATAATTAAGGCACTATTTAACTACCACCCTTCAAACACAGCTCCCCAAGTGGTACTGAGGTCTCCATTCAAGCAGACATTCTTTGTACAGATTGCCTTTATTTAAAACTCACAACAAAACTAAAACTAAACCTCCCTGGAAAAAGGTAAAACTGTGTTAGCTAGACGATTATCAAAAGAACATAATATTAAATAACTTACCAGTTCCTGAACTAATATTGGATGTGGAAGACACAATTTGGGGATCCGTACAAGGTTTCTTGGTGAAGGTCATACCGTTACGGTTGCTAGTTTGAAATATAGAACTAGAAGTGTCAGCTTCCATCTGAAAAAGGAATATAACTATTTTTAATCTACTTCATTATGTTATTTTATGGATTACTTTATTTAATCAATTTTAATTCCTGACGTCTTTGAAATAAAGTCTTAAATTATAAAGAAAGCGGATATTATGTACTTCTAACATCAAATTATTAGATAGATACTCTTCATTGATTCCTCCAAAAGATTACAATAGTAAACTTATTATAAATATAAACAATTACAAGAAATGATCACAGTGAGAAAGCAATATATATATATATATATCAAGTAGCAACTAAGGGTGATAGGTGAGGATGAAGTTATGACATGGTTCATCATAACGAATTCATCACGACTACGATGGTTTTCATAACTGGCATGGAAGTCGAGTTGTCAGAGTAAATTTATAAGCATTGAAGCCTTCTCTCCTTTTCAGGGTGTAGTAGTTTAAGATCCTCATGTAAAAGAGATCGGCGACGCACAAGCAATGCCTGCAGTATTTTCTTTAATGAAAAATCGGAATGGTAACTTCCCTTGTGCTAACAGCATATACGGCGAGATATCAATAAGTGATGATAGGTGAGTATGGAACCGGGTCAGTCAGTACATTGTGACAAATACCACAAGAGTTAGCCACGGTGGTTTCTAGGGCGAATCGTATGTAAGCCGAACGGATAGGACATATCGCTGGCAATGGTTAAACTGTTAAACTTCAAACCTAACAATTCCCTTCAACAATAACAATTCAAGAGGCAGGGGCCTCTAATATTGCAAGTATATACATATTTTAATAATATTTTATTATTTATCTACTTACTTTAATATCACTCTTCAGTGCCGAATCTATATCCTTTGAGAAGCTGCCTTGTCCGAAACTGAATGGTGGCTCAGACACGAACGAAGCAATAATCCCTTCTTCTTCGGTCCACGCAAACTTCGCTGTGTTCTCCGGGAAGAAGCCGTCGCGGAAGAGAGAACGGGGTCCATCCAACTGATGTTAAGATTAATTAATGAATTTCAATTTAAGATATATTGCAGTTAAGTAATGCAAACATCACTTTTTAGGAACACAAAGACATATGCATTGATTTATACGAATAGCTCTAAATATGAATGAAATATATTTATTATTTAATAAATACCATAATTAAATAAAATATTTTAGTGTACCTACATCATTTCTAGCAGTTGCAGACAAGAGCGGCTCGTTGCGATATCCCGAATCCTTTTTGTCAAACTTGTCACTAAGACACACTTCGTGGATGCTAAAATATTATACAATATGACTTAATATGATCGACAAACTTCACACAAATATAAAATAAAACACAAACGTTTAGACAACGAAAATTATGAAAATCAAAAATCAATATGGCGGCGATTTCAACTTTTTTCACAAAATAATGGAAGATCGTGAACCTTATTATCTCGTCGCCCGGCCTCATAAAAGTGCTCTCTGGTATTTCTTTTATTTCTTCGTCAGAAAACATCATTTATTTTTGCAATATTCAATTTTTTTTATAACAAAAAACCTCGATGATTCCGTCAAATTCGTTTATTTCACTGCGAATTTCTATTGTTATTTTTGTTTCTATGACAATACGAGTTCTAAATTCGAAATAAAATTCTTTTTTTATTATAAATGGCCAGTTTATATAGGTAAGTACCTACATATACGCATGTGTGCGTGTGCCACTAGGCTATCTGACCTCTTTTGAACTTTATGCAAGTCAGTGAACCTTAGCTTCAATGAACAATTTTTTTAAAAGTTAAAAATAATCCAAAATTACGAATAGTGTCAGTAGGCACAAAAGTAGGAGATTCTTCATTATATACAGTATTCCATTTTTATAAAATAAATATTTAAATTTATTGAACTGTGAAAATAATTTTATTATCCGTGTAATTAAAAAAAAACATAATAGCGAAGTAATTGTTTCTTGCATAATAATAATTTTAAATAATATAAAATAATAATGTAAAAAATAATTTAAGCAGTCTTGTAAACTTTTTTTTATTCGGTTTGCCATTTGTGTGTAATGCAATGCTTACTTAATCTGAACTGATTTTGATGATACTTATTTCAATCGAAAGGTTTAATTTGTTTTCAATGGGTGAAAATAAAATATGTAGTAATCCCGTCTGTCCTATCGATATACACTGGCGGCGCACCAATGAGGGTTGATAGGTGAGGATGAAGCAGGTTAGTTGGCCTATCTATCGTGACGAATTTAATAATGATTAACCACGATGGTTTCCAGGAAAAACCGCGTGATGGTCCACCTGATAGGGCATACTGCTAGCAAGCCTATTAAACTCCATTATTAATAATTCCTTTCCCCTATTCGAAAGAGTATACTCTTGTCCTGTATATCCCACTTTTAAGTAAAAGCTCGCGGGGGGTTAGTAAAGAAATTTTTTTTTATGTAACCTAAAATGGCTAACAAGCTAACGACCCACCTGATAGAAAGTGGTAACAGCCGTCTATAGACATGAACAGTACTACGGACATAATAGAGTATACTGTGTCATTTATGATACACTTCATGCGTTGCCATTCCTGAAAAATGAGGTGTTATGCCTCTGTACCCTATTATTTCATTGCTATGTATCGCACCCTTCAAACTGAAGCACAACCATGTACAGACACATGAGACAGAAATGGGACAGGGGTACCCAATCAGCAGACTTTTGTACAAAATCTCCCTCCGTTATATATGTATATATTTTTTATAAGTGGCTAGCACACCATACAGTCTCTGAAGCCTACATTATTTTACTCTCCACCAATACTGGCTTGAAGGATTCTTGAGCCATTCGAGTGGGCCTGTAACGAAATGAGCAAACTTCAGAACCACTTAGACGTTGTAACAAACCACTTCTAACGTTCACTGAGATATTTTCTCTTTCAATTAGAAAAAAAAATCGGAAGCTATAGCGCCTACTCTGAGAGTAAATCTAAATATTTTTAACTTATTTTCACGACATTAGTGTCGATTCTGAATCATACCTACTCTATGGATATTTCTAAAATTAAAATTTTAGATTAAAATTAATTAAAAACATTATTTTGTTTTTTTTTGTCATAGATGTTTATTTTCTCTTATTTATTGGAATCTGTAATGACGTAGGTGCGTTCGTTAACTTGTATTTAATTTTATTTCCTAATTTCAATGTCGAAGCAAGTCCTTAACGAAAGAAATGTCGTTTCAACTCGTCAATCGTTGCCAAGTGGCGTTTAATTACACGCACTTGCGTACAAGGTATGTCTTTGACATAGGCGCGTGTAATTTGATTGAAATACCTCTAGCACATCTCTCTCAGGGCTGTGTGAGTAATTTCCACTAAATACTGGCAAGAATTTATCGATTTACGTTAGTTAGTTATGGTGGACAAATGTGTTTGGAATTTGTGTAAATTTTATAAAAAGCACCGGCTTTGGTTGTGATAAAATTAGTATGGAACCAGCACGGAGATCCATGCCTATCGATTGTAAAAAGAATAATCAAAATCGGTTTAGAATCAGTGAAGATGTCGCATACAAAAAATATAGGCGAATTTAATCTAATTTAAACATACTGATGGAAATTTCCATCATAACATTGAATGCCTAAAACTTATATAAAAGACCAGGTTCACTTTAAGTTGATTGTGTCTGGATAATTTTTTAATGTCCATTGCAGAAAAAAAAACATAGCTGTCAAATTTATTGTTTTGACCATTTTTTCTTTAATTTTAAACATGAATTATATCACTTTGATTATATGACTTCACCAATAAAAACAATCATGCAAAGAAGGGTTAAATATGCATTTTTGAAATTTCTACCATGTGCAAACATTATGGTGGAAAGCACTGGGGAAGGTTTATGTATACCAGTGGATTGATACTAGCTGAAATAACGATTTTCAAATTAAATTTATTAAAAAATAAAATAATTGTAAAATAATTTAGATTGCCGATTAGATGCACTTTGCGTTACATACCTATTTATTATTATTATAGTACTACAGCGCCATCTATTTATTTTTTAGACTTAAAAAAATATCAATATTTTTTTTATTACGTATCTTGTATATTATCTATGGTATTACAGAACAAGCAACAATAAATTTATAAGATTTATGTTTAAGCTTTTCCATTAAAAATATAGAAAAAATAAGAACTATATCTAGCGTCACCTATTTGATATTTAAAATAATAATGTTTTGTTATAAAGTAGTTAATACTGCCCTCTTTTACATTTTTCTAAAACTAACATATAGATTATAATATGAACAGATGGAGCTAGGCGGTAAAGCGCCATCTGTTAATCTTATAATACATTAATAATACAAATTTGAATATCTGCGATAAAAGCAGGAAACAAATCATTAATGATAATCCCTAGAAGGCACTTATAAGTATTTTAAATTACAAGTGTTCTAGTTTCAATGAAAATGATTAGAGGGCGTAAAATTTTTTTTTTAAGTGTTCAAAAATAATGTAATTGATAAATGCAATAAATCTGATTTTTTTAAATAAAAATTAGTGTTCAAACATACAATAGCTTTTTTTTCTGGCGCATAGTTGTAAAAAAGTCCCGTCGCTAAATTCTGTAGATATTATTAAATTTTGAATAAACCTTGGTTTAAATGAAAAATGAGCGAAAATATAATACAATGTACTCGGGTTGCCTGCTCACAGTCAGCTTGCGGTTGACTGAGAGCTAGGTTTGCCAGTTGAAAATAGGTAAAAATTTAGGCAAATTTGGCTAACTCATTGTGCTTTTTGATAAGATTTACTCCAAACGGATGTTTATTTAGTTTATTCTTTTCTGTGCACGATATCATGGTTACCCATAAAAAATGGCTGCAAGTAAGGGTTGCCATCAATTAAAATTTTGTTCTAGATGGTGGACCTAAAGGTTATAGAGAATTAGTTTTTTTTAATAAAACATACACTAAACTGAGGTTTATTCTCTTTTCTATACAACAACACAGGGATGCCTATAAAAAAATGGGCGCAATGCATGGCTACCGGTAACACGAATGTATTTCATTTTATCTTTAATCATCTTTAAATTAATCTAAATCTCATTAAAAAGTTTTATACATGCAGAATTCTGAGGCATATAAGGTATCTTTGCTACTTAATACGGGTATCAGTAGTTCCACATTTGCAATTAGCATTTTTAAATACTTCCACTCTTTCTACATTTGTACTAAGAAAGGCAACTATTGTAATTACACTTTTAAAATAATACTTATACTAATTATAATCAATCAGTGAAGTTAAGCACCTTTGGGTAAGCAATTATAAATTGAGGGGGGAATGGGATTCTTAGTAATAGAGACTGAGAATCCCATTGCTAGCAATATACTCAACCAGGTCGACCTCCTCGCGGTTCCCCTGGAAACTATCATTATTCATTCATGCTAAATTCATCATGATGGGCTAACTAGCCTGTTTTCATTTTCATTCGATCACCCTTCACTGGTGCTCCACCAGCGTATACCGGTAGCGCAGGCGGGGTTGCCATTTCATATTCATCCATCAAAAAAAAAAAAAAAAAAAAAAATATATATATATATATATATATATATATATATATATATAAATTGAGTAATGACTTACAAAGGTGCTTAGCTAATTTCTTTGATTGCGTCCATTCTATTTATGCCAGAAATAAATGGTATTACAAAACATTTGTCAATAAAAACGCGAGGCATTCCTCGGTGTATATTTTACTAAGATACAGTCATACTCTGTACCTTATTATTTGTATTTTTTAATATTATTGTGTAGGTAGTAACTTAGGTACACATGAGTCATCCCTACATCCAATATTGCATTCTTGTTAAGTCTCAAGCCACTCCATCTTAGTCTATTTGACAGGATGCCACGTAGCTAGATAATATGCCAGTGTGAGATCTTGCTAGATAATGACATTGCAGATTCGTACTGGCTTTCTCATGCATTGTATTTATAAGGGTTTATAAGTTTTAATAACATCTTTGTAATAAAACTTAATATGAATACTGTAAATGCATAAATAAATTAAGACGTGAGTATTTTTTTATAGGCTAAGTGTGATAGGGTTTTGTTAAACATTATAATAATATTTAAGCTAATTATAATAAATAAGCTGTTATGATTATTGAAAAGTTTTTAAAGAAAAGGTTCAATTCTCAATCATGTCAATTTAGCAAATTAAATTCTCTTAATTATGTATCATCAATAGCAGTAACAATTGATGTCAGTTTTACTCATATTTTAAAATTTGGGGATGAAAGTATGACTCACAATAGTTATTATTCAACAAAACTAGTAAAATTTATGGACATAGAGCAGGATAACCAGAGATTTAATAAAAATAATGGAATGATAACCATGTCTGTGCTAACGGTATACGCTGGCGGGGCACCTGTGGAAGACGATAGGCGAGGATGAAAAGGCAGATCAGTTATTCCATTGTGATGAGTACAACTGGAATTCAGCATCAATTAATTTTAATTTAATTTTTTTCTATTTGTATACTATATTTTTGTTCTACTATATGTTTGTTTTGTTTCT